ATGCTGATAAAATCTTTCTACCATACCATTGTGTGTACAGACGCTCCCTGGGTTATGCAAGACCTGACTTACGCAAATTCGCACTTACGGAAAAAGTTCCATATGCCAGAAATAAGATTTTCGAGTTGCAGAAATTTTTGTGTAACGTACGGGTATACATTTCCGAGTTATGCAAAATTCGAGTTACGCGAGGCTTTCCAGAACGGAACAATCGCGTAAGTCGGGGGGCATCTGTATGTGTGTATATATATATTGGTTCTTAGACATATGTCTATACACAGTTTTCAAAATGGGTTCCTAAACTTAGACTCCTAAATCCATATCTAGGCATTTAAATAAGCAGCCAGCTCCCATTGGAACTTCTGGCTGCTTGGCATTTTTGAAAATCGGGCCACTTACTTGGGTCCCTGAATCGGGATTTAGGAGTCAAACTTTAGGCTCCCATTTTTGAAAAGCTTGGAGCCAGAGCAGCATCTCTCTGTAGAGAGAACTAGATCTACATCCCGCATGAAAGGCTCTTCCCCGTCTGTGGGCAGTAACCATTAATGCTCTTGCTCACATATGAGTGTACAGGTAAGCACATTTTTCACTCTGTGTCCCTTATCCAGAAGTGCCTTGCCTTTCGCCTTGTATGTACTATAGCCATGTGATACAAAGCAGCTGAGATTGCTGAATCCACCGACATATGCACTTATATTACCCAGGACTACCGTTGTTTCCAGCATGTTCGCTGCATACCAAAAGCTCTTATGATATGTTTTTCTTCTCTTCACTGGATGCCATTTGAAGACAGAGATTTAAAAAAAAATAAGTCCCTCAGCTGAAGCCCAGTTGCCATTAGCCTAGTGATCAGTAGGATGTCCACCAAGCTTTTATGCTAGCTTTACTCCTACTGCAATCTGATTTCCTCTATTGCTAACTAAAACCTAGTCCCAGGCTGTGTTTTCCATTTCCTTGTCTCCAGTTGCTTCCATCCCTCTGGCAGTTAGGAGCAATGTTCCCTCTAATTTTTTATATCCAGGTGCGGAATGAATTTAATTATATGCACCAGTATGGAGGTGATATGTGGCGGGGTGGGGCCAAGGGATTCAGAGTGTGGGAGGGGGCTCAGGGCCGGTGCAGAGAGTTGGGGTGAGGGTTCTGACTGGGCGTGCGGGCTCCGGCTTGGGGCCGAGGATGAGGGGTTCAGGGTGTGGGAGGGGGCTCAAGAGCTGGGGCAGAGTGTTGGGGTGTGAGGGCTGCAGCTGGGGGTGCGGGCTCTGTGGTGGGGTTGGGGATGAGTTTGGGGTGCAGGCTGCCCCAGGGCTGGGGCCAGAGGACTCCCCACATCCCTCTCCCTGCCGGCAGCGGCTCTGGGGGAGCAGCCCCCCTTCTCCCCCCCAGCAGCATGGATTTCCGGGGAGGGGCCCTCCCTTTCCTTCAAGTGATGGTTTGCCTAGTGTTTGCTGGTTAGAAAACTCAGCAACCCTTCTGTAACCCTTCATGCCATTCCTTAGTTTGCTGAGAGGACATCCTAGACCTCTTTTAATCCCTGCTTTTTCAAATGTAATGGTCTTCCCTGTTAATGCTGTAGCATCTGTATTAATGTCAAAGGAGAAAATGATTTTGTGACTTTTGCTTGCTAATTTTGGGGATTATTCATTTTGAAGCAATATCCATTTGGATGAAAGACAGTTTTCTCCCTTGATTCACTAGAGAGTCTTGGCACTTTTTAAATGAAACTCAAACTGAACAGCTTTATTGTGTAAAGGTCAGAACCTGAGTTACGCTAGGAGGCCCACTTTTCCTCTGATTCCCAAATCTTCAGATATTCTTTCTCCAGAGAGCATCACAAATCCCAGTGGAGGGATGAGGAAGATGAACTAGATGACCTAATAAGTCAATTTCATCTCATATTTCTATGATTTTTTTTAAGATGAGTTCCAAGCACACCATTTTCTGTAGATGACTGTGCCACAATGATA